AAAACATGCTTAATCTGTTACCGAACATAGGAGATTGAGAACTTGTAGAATAAGAATTTGTCACCACAGAACTCCCAACATTAACTTCAATATCATCTGCAGTGCACTCATGTGTATTATCCACGTTTATAACGTCAGACGTTTCTTTTGGTTAAATTGGCCCTTGGGTTTATTTTGATATGGCTGTGCTCTATTCCTAGGGAAGTAAGAGTTTCTTTTCCCCCCTTGAAATCTGGAAGAGCCATTACCCCTATTTCTGAAGGGGCCTGTATAATAGCTGCCATATGATCTACGATAGGGGGTGGGTGGCTGTTGCCACCTTGGTCGTTGTGGTTGGAAAGGCTGCCACGTATAGCCGAACTTATTGGTGGCTTGGCGGACATCCTGTTTCTGTTTTATACTGTCATCTGTCTCTGGGTTGAATAGGCCTGCCTCATGAAAGGGGAGGTCTTCTGCTAAAGCCTTCCCTTCATCAGATAGATTGGATGCACGCAACCATGCATGTCTTCTAATTGCAGTGGCTGTTGCAAACAAATTTCCTGCCGCCTCTGCTAGGTGTTTGGCAAAGTCTTTCTGGAATTTGGAAAGTACCAGCGCCTCTGCCTGGAGGGCTTTAGGTAAGTGTTGTTCCTCTCTGGGTAAAGATTCGATACATGGCAAAATTTTACCCCATAAAAATGACTGGTATCCACTCATGTAAGTTGTAAAGTGGGCCATACGGGTGAATAATTCCGCAGCGACATGTGCCGTTTTGCCTAAAGAATCAATCTTTTTTCCTTCTCTATCTGGTGGCGTTGTTAGAGAACCCTTAGGGCGTTTGGACTTTGCTACCTCTGCTACCACTGTATTTGGTTTAGGGGGAGTAGTAACCCATCTAAATGCAGAAACTTCAATTTTATACATTGTATCTAGCCTTCTAAAGCCTAGAGAAGACAATTATGCTGGGGAAAGTGGAAGGCAAAAGGAAGAGGGGCCGACCAAGGGCAAGATGGATGGATGGCATCCTTGAAGTGACTGGACTGACCTTGAGGGAGCTGGGGGTGGTAACGGCCGACAGGGAGCTCTGGTGTGGGCTGGTCCATGAGGTCACGAAGAGTCGGAGACGACTGAACGAATGAACAACAACAACAACATCTAGCCTTCTAGGTATCGCAGGAGTCAGACAGGGGAAAATATCTACAATTTTTGCAAGTTTAAGTATGGGAGAGCTGGCAATGACAGTAAAGGAGTAGCATTCTGCTCCTCAGAAGGAAACATCGGATCATCGACGTGTTCTGGTGGCTTTGGAGCTGGAATGTCAAGACCTCTTATCATTCTTTCCATTAATGCATTGAACTTATTAAAGTCAGTCAGTTGAATACCGGTGTTTTCTTCACTCCCCAGGGACTGGAATGTATCTGGGGAGTAGGAATCTGTTGCAGTGTCATTCTCAACATTGGTTGGGTCTGGTGCTGCTTGTACATTCAATAAGTCCTGGTGTATTTGATCTCCATCGTTTGGTTGGTTTGACCTAGATGCTGTGAGTGTATTGGGGTCATTTAGTTCTTGCTCTGTGTTATGTCGAGCATCGGTGGAGGTGTCCTGTTGTGAAGTCTCATGACTCGCTATTGATCCAGGTCTGTTATTTCTTTCATTATATGATCTCACATGAGATGTAATATCATTTAATGGAGTTACTATAGTGGTTTGACCTACATTCTCATTTGGTCTGCCACATATCTGGGAGGGCACTCTCTGTATATTTATTGGATTATTCATTGGCTGTTGTATAAACATAAGTTGGCCAGAGGGGCCCATCTGCCTGGGAAGGGCATTGCGCCCGGGGCATATCTCCTCCAATGGCCTGATGACCTTGAAGACAGTGATCGTCTCCCTCTCCTTGATCGACCCGAGGGGGAGGAGGAGGAGGAGGAAGAGGAGGAGGACGAGGAGGAAGAGGAGCGCGAACGGCGATCTCTCCTTGAAGCCGATCGGTATCGACTACGTCTGGGTCTGTATCGGCGCGAAGGGGATCTCGAGCGTCTAGGGCGTGTACTTGGGCGCCGAAAGGTATATTCTGGCCATGCTCTCAGGGAGGACGCTGCCGTCCCTTGCGCTACATTATTTAATTGATTTTCTTCCTCCTGCGCTCTTTCCCCATTACTTGGGGGAGGTCCCTCTCCTTGTTGACTGCTGACGCCAGCCGGCGTCGGCCTGGGCGGGACTTGGGTTTCGGTTCCGGAAGCAGGAGGTCCATTATACACGCCCTCGAAGGCGTGGCTTGTTGATGGAAGGGAAGGGTTTGTTGCGGAGGAGTCGACGTCGGGCGCGAAGGGGGCGACTGTACAGACTCCGCCTCCTTGTGCATTCAGAGACAGTAACGGCATCGGAGGAGTCCGGCCAGCCGCCGATGCCGATCCTTCGGTTTGTGCTCCAGCCATTCTCAGCGAGGTATTGTCGGCCGTTACATTGGTTCTGGCCAGTCCCTTTGCGGCTTGGCCTGGAGTCTTTTTTGCTTTAGCCGCTTGATTGCTCTCGTGAGCGTTTGCGGACGGGTTTGCTCTCTTCGCCGGAGCTTTTTTAGTTGCTGCGGCTTGGCGGCCATTTTGGAGACCGTTGTTCTTTATTTTCTTTGTCTTCTTCTTCCCCTCTGAAGGCAAGGGGGTTTGTTGTTGGGAATTTCCCTGCCCTTGTGCCGTTTGTGGCATGAGAGCTTTTTCATAGAGCGCTGCTTTGAGCCGGGACAGTCTATTTTTCCTCGTCTGAGGAGTGAATGATGAGCATATAGCACAAGGTTGCGTAAGGTGCCCTTCTCCCAAACATTCAAGACATAACGAGTGACCGTCCGTGTCGGGGAGAATATTTGGGCATTTTGTACACTTCTTGAATGCCGTAGTCGCCATACTCTTGTTTAAATGAATGTTGTTTACCAAAGCCTCTCTCTATTTTTCTGTTATTTTACCGTATTGTTCTCAATGAGAAGAGGAAGGTTCTCTCGCTGTTTGCTTTAGCGCGGAAAAAAGAGAACTGAGTAACGGCCACAGCCGCGGGCTATATATGCTAGAGGGAGGGGAGCGTGTGGCCAGGAGAGTCTAAACGGTCATTTTTACTTTCTAGAAGGTTCCGATCGCTGAACTGAGCAGGCGCAGGTTACCATATGTGCGATTCACAGGATCTACGACAGGAAATATAATAAATATAATATAATCTATCTAGATCAGATCTAAAGGCTATAGGAGACCACAAGCTTGAATATAAAATAATTCAGTATTACCATCTATCTATCTATCTACATGATCTAGGAAACCACAAGTGTGTATATATTATATTATATTATATTATATTATATTATATTATATTATATTATATTAATGGATCTAAGGGCTTTAGATGACCACAAGTTTGAAAATGACACAATATATGATATAATGTCCTATAATAGATATGATTGAAAGGTTTGCGGAGACCACAAGTTGAACGCAAGCCAACTTTATTGATCACGGCATCCACGCGTCAACAAGACCCATCCTTTGGAGTCCCGGATCGTCCGAAGGAAAAAAAGCAAAGCAACCTATTTTTAAAAAACCAAATTCTCAGGAATCGAATTTCTGTTGGGTGTTTGCAACCAACAGTCAATCAATCAATCAATCCCTCGGAGATAGGAAGAACACGGGGAGGGCAGACGCTGAGGAATTAATGCCGTTTGACAACGCTTTGAACTCCCAGGATGCTGTAGCATTGAGACATATATATATGTGTGTGTGTGTGTGTGTATGTATGCATTAATTCCACTGTGTAGTCAATAACCTTTGGCAGAGAAGTAGTCTTTGGGTTGAACTCGATTTTCATTATATATATATTTGAATATATATATATATATGTGTGATGTGTGTGTATCTATACACACACACATATATACACATATATTTCAACTCTATTTATATAGAATGTACAAATATATATATTATAAAATTATATTTTATATACCTATATAATATTTTCATATATATATATATATATATAGTTCAAATGTATATGTATTAAATAAATAATGTAGGCATATAGAGTACAAATATATATAATAAAATATTTACATATATATCATTATATATATAAGAATTATATATATATATATATATAAATATATCTTTAGAATATCTATGAATATATATATAGTTCAAATGTATATGTATTATATATATAATGTATAGTGCAAATATATATTTGGAACTCTATTTAAATAAATTTGTATCTATGTGTGTGTATAGGTCATACACACACACACACATACGCACAATAAATACACACATACAGGTATGTATATATTTATACACACACATACAGTAAAGAGAGTCGATACACACACACACATATATACATGTGTGTGTGTGTATGGGCTCTATTTACTGTGCCATATATATATATGTGTGTGTGTGTGTTTGCATATATACACACACACCTATCTATGTGTATGTGTGTGTGTATATACACACAATATATATTTTTGGAACTCTATTTAAATAAATCTGTATTTATGTGTGTGTATAGGTCATACACACACACACAATAAATAAATACATACATACACACATACATACAGTAAAGAGAGTCCATACACACACATATATGTGTGTGTATGGACTCGTCATACATACATAGACACATACATAAAGAGAGTCCATACACACACATATATGCAAACACACACACACATATATACATGTGTATATATTTATTTATATATATTTATTGTATGTGTGTGTATATATGTACTATTTAAATATCTATCTATATGTGTGTGTGTATATATATATTTGACATAAACAAACACATTTAGATTTTGTGTGTGTATATATGTACTATTTAAATATCTATATGTGTGTGTGTATATATATATTTCACATAAACACACATATAGACTTATTTAAATAAACACACACACACACAAAGTAAAATAGAGTTCATATATCTATAACCTATTGGTTTTTGTAATTTGTAACCTGTGTATTGATTTATTATGATATTTATTTATTGGTTTGTGATTATTGCTTATTGATGATTAGTTTCTGATGATGGATGCATTGTGACTTGGTCCTGTTGTGATCCGGATATAAACAAAGATGATAATAGTGATGCTGCTGATATATATATATACATATATCACACACACATATATATGGCAACCACCCTGGCCATCAATCCGACACTCAGCCCAAAACCTCTTGCGTCTACACTGCCAAATTAACACAGTTTGATCCCGCCGTCATTGATTCTTGGGCGGAGATGGGGGGGGTCAGATGTTGAGGGCGGCCACGGTCCTGACCAGCGTGACCTCGGGGTCGCCTTCGACCTCGCTCTCCTCCTTCTTCTTCCGGTTGTTGTTGTCCTTGTTGTTGTCCTTGGCTTTCTGCCGGTGGTGGTCCTCCTGCCGACGCTTCTTCTCCAGCCGCTGCTGCTCCTTCCGTTGTCTGCAGGACAGCTGCGGGAAGGGGAAATAATAATAATAATTAATAATAATAATAAATAATAATAATTTGTATTTCTATCCTGGTTTAACTCTACCTTCTGAGAATCAAAGCAGCTCACAATCCAGGTCATACACACACACACACACACACACAATAAATAACACATACACAATACACAATACACACAAACACATGTTATCCATAGTAATTATATTTAATATATTAGTATTATTATAATATATTGTAAATGCATAGGTGATATATATCAATCATATACAGGTAAAAAAACACACACATATTTAAATATATCATTATATATTATTATATGTTATCCATAGTAATTATATTTAATATATTAGTATTATTATACACTAATATATTATATGTATAGGTGATATATATCATTCATATACATATAAAACACACACACACATATATTTAAATATATCATTATATATTATTATATGTTATCCATAGTAATTATATTTAATATATTAGTATCATTATATTATAATAATATTATAATATATTGTAAATGTATAGGTGATATGTATCAATCATATACATATAAAACACACACACACATTTAAATATATCATTATATATTATTATATGTTATCTATAGTAATTATATTATAATATATTAGTATCATTATATTATAATGATACTAATATAATATAATTATATTATAATATTATATATATATATATATAAATGAAAGGATATGTATTTATTTATTTTATATATTTATTATTATATATTTATTATTTTATTTATTTTATATATTTAAGGGTTTATATATTTTATATATTATAAATTTTATATATTTATTTTGTTTTAAGTATATATCTATATTTATTTATTTTAAGGATTTATTTATTTTATTTTATTTATTTTAAGGATATATATTAAGAATCCGCGTTCATTGGAGGAAGCGCAAGGGGATTGCATATCTGCAACCCCCCTTGCGCTTCCGGGTACCTTTGTGTTCTGCTGCTTCCTTCCTGGGTCCCCTTCTGCTGGGTTCCGGTTGTTCTCTGCCTCCCGGGTTCCGAAGATCCGGGTTCCGCTGCCGTTCTCCTCCCAAAGGCCTGGCTTCGGCCGGTTCGTCTGGGCCACCTCCTCGTGTTCTAAGGGAAATAAGAGAGAGAGAAAGAGTCGGTTGTATTATCATATTACATCCTTATCATATACTGTTATGATATAATATACTGTTATCATATACTGTTATGATATAACAGTTCCTCAGGGCTCAATATTGTCTCCCATGTTGTTTAACATCTACATGAAGCCGCTGGGAGAGATCATCCGGAGTTTCGGGGTACGGTGTCACCTGTACGCAGATAATGTCCAACTCTGTCACTCCTTTCCACCTGCTACTAAGGAGGCTGTCAGGTCCTGAACCGGTGCTTGGCCGCTGTGACGGTCTGGATGAGGGCGAACAAATTGAAATTGAATCCAGACAAGACAGAGGTCCTCCTGGTCAGTCGCAAGGCCGAACAGGGCATAGGGTTACAGCCTGTGTTGGATGGGGCCGCACTCCCCCTGAAGACACAGGTTCGCAGCTTGGGTGTGACCCTGGACTCATCGCTGAGCCTGGAACCCCAGGTTTCGGCGGTGACCAGGGGAGCATTTGCACAGCTAAAGCTTGTGCGCCAGCTGCGCCCGTACCTTGGGAAGTCTGACTTGGCCACGGTAGTCCACGCTCTGGTTACATCCCGTTTAGACTACTGCAACGCTCTCTACGTGGGGTTGCCTTTGAAGACAGCTCGGAAGCTCCAACTAGTCCAACGCTCGGCAGCCATGATTTTAACAGGAGCGGAGCGCAGGGAGCATACAACCCCCCTGTTGCGCCAACTCCACTGGCTACCGATCTGCTACCGGGCTGAATTCAAAGTGCTGGCGTTGGCCTTTAAAGCCCTAAACGGTTCCGGCCCAAGCTACCTATCTGCCCGCATCTCTGCCTATGAACCCACCAGGACTTTGAGATCTTCCGGGGAGACCCTGCTCTCGATCCCGCCTGCTTCTCAAGCTCGGCTGGCGGGGACGAGAGATAGGGCCTTCTCGGTGGTGGCTCCTCGGCTGTGAACGCCCTTCCTACGGACATTAGACTAGCACCATCTCTAATGGTATTCCGCAAAAAGGTGAAGACCTGGATGTTTGTGCAGGCGTTTCAGTAATTTAGTGCAATCTGGTAATGGAACATAGGAATGGAACAAGGGACGACGAATCTGGACTACGCTTGGATGATGAGAAGATTGGGTACGGTTGTTTTTTTGGTAATAATTGTGCATTGTAATTGCTTATTGGTAATTTATGGATAATGTGTTAAGTCAATTGTTATATGTTGTATGGAACCACTGCTGTTTCTACTGTTTTTACTGTTTGTGAACCGCTGTGAGTCGCCTTCGGGCTTGAGATACAGCGGTATATAAGCAAAGTAAATATATATATATATATATATATATATATATATATATAATTATATATATATATATATATATATATAACACATATTATATAATACATAATAATAATATGATATATATTATTATATATTATAATATATATATAGCTGTATATGATATAATAATATATAACATATATAATATTATTATTATATATATTATTATATCTTAACTGTATATAATATATATATTATATATAATAATGTTATATATATTATTATTATTATGATATATATAACTGTATATGATATAATATATTATATATATATATATTATTATATATTATATAATATATAATAATAATAATAATTATATATTATTATTATTATTGATGTTGAAACTTAGGGAAATATGATGTATATATTCAGTTTTATCACACTTATTTACTGTATTATTATAAGTGTCTTATTTAACTTACTACATAGAGTTTTATTAAGTTGTACAAGCTTTGTTGTTTGGTTCGGTATGGTGATATGGTCATAGCCATAGCTAATCAATAAAGTGTAATTATTATTATTATTATTATTATTATTATTACTACTACTACTACTACTACTACTAACTTGGGGACCCAGCGGTGCCTGGGTTATTTGAGAAAAGCTCTGTCTGCCAAGTATTCGTAATTGGATGTGGGTCGCAGCGGTCTTGGGAAATGAGTAAAAGTACTTTGAGTCCCATCATCCATGGTCCATCCTCCTCCAAACTGCACCAGGATGTAGAGTGGGTCATGGGGGCTCTGTGTGCCAAGTTTGGTCTTGATCAGTCATTGGATGTGGGTCACAGCAGTCTCGGGAAGTGAGTGGAGGTACTGCAAGTCCCATCATCCATGGTCCATCTTCCTTCAAACTGCACCAAGATGTAGAGTGGGTCATGATGGTCTGTATTCCAAGTTTGGTCTTTATCAGTCATTGGATGAGGGCTGCAGTGGTTTCAGTAAGTGAGTGAAGGTACTGCGAATCCCATCATCCCTGGTCCATCCCCCTTAGAACTGCTTCAGGATGTAGAGTGGGCCATGAGTACTCTGTGTGCCAAGTTTGGGCCTGGTCTGTGATTTGTAGGAGCTACAATGTTCTGTGGGAAGTGAATCGGGTGAAGGTACTGCAAATCCCATCATTCGTGGCCCATCCTGCCCTGAACTGCACCAGGTTTAAAGTGGGCCATTGGGCCTCTGTGTGCCAAGTTTGGTCCTGATCCCTCATTGGTGTGGGCCACAGTGCTCTAAGGAAGTGAGTTCAAGTACTGCAAGTCCCATCATCCATAGTCCATCCTTGCTCAAACTGCACCAGGGTGTTGAGTGGGTCTTGCGGGGGGGCGGGGGGGTCCGTGTGCCAGGTTTGGTCTTGTTCTGTCATTGTTGGGGGCCACAAGGTGTTTTGGACTTCAATTCCCACCATTCCTGACAGTCTCGGACCCTTACCTCTCCTCTCTCTGCCACCTCAGAATGTTGGAATGTTGAGGCCGGCCAATCAGAGACCATATGCAAATTGTACCACAGTGGCAGCCAATCAGAATGTTGCCACATACACCTCCCTTCCTCCACATACAAACATTCACTTTTATTAGATAGATAGATAGATAGATAGATAGATAGATAGATAGAGATATAGATTATTATTGATCTTGATGTTGAAACTTACGGAGCCTCTGCACCTCGTTCACTTGGGAAACGGCAAAGATGGCCGACTCGATGTTGTAGTCTTCCGTTTCGAGGATTTGAAGGATTAAATCGGAGTCCTGCCAAGAAAACGGTACATTGCACTGATAAATAAATAAGTACACCCTTTAAATAAATAAATAAATAAAATCCTTAAAATAAAATAAATATATAAAATTTATAATATATAAAATATATAAAATAATAAATATATAATAATAAATATATAATAATAAATCAATCCTTAAAATAAATAAATGTATATCCTTAAAATATAATAAATATAGAATATTTATAATATATAAATAAAATAATAAATAGATAATAATAAAATAATAAATATATATCCTTAAAATAAATATATAAAATAAATAAATCCTTAAAATAAATAAATGCATATCCTTAAAATATAATAAATATAGAACTTTTATAATATATAAAATAATAAAATAATAAATAGATAATGATAAAATAATAAATATATATCCTTAAAATATAATAAATATAGAATATTTATAATATATAAAATAATAAAATAATAAATAGATAATAATAAAATAATATATAACCTTAAAATATATATTTATTATTTTGAGATATTCCAGGGAGGCCCTGCTCTCGATCCCGCCGGCTTCTCAAGCACGGTTGGCGGGGATGAGAGATAGGGCCTTCTCGGTGGTGGCTCCTCGGCTGTGGAACGCCCTTCCTACGGACATTAGGCTGGCGCCATCTCTCATGGCATTCCGAAGAAAGTTGAAGACCTGGATGTTTGTGCAGGCGTTTGAGTAATTTAGTGCAATCTGGTAATGGAATATAGGAATGGAACAATGGACGACGAACCTGGACTACGCTTGGATGATGAGAAGATTGGGTACGGTTGTTTTTTGTAATAATTGTGCATTGTAATTGCTTATTGGTAATTTATGGATAATGTGTTAAGTCAATTGTTATATGTTGTATGGAACCACTGCTGTTTCTACTGTTTTTACTGTTTTTGAACCGCTGTGAGTCGCCTTCGGGCTTGAGATACAGCGGTATATAAGCAAAGTAAATAAATAAATAAATAAATAAAATAAAGATGGCAAATCACTCTTCTTTATTATATATACTAGCTTGGGGACCCGGCGTTGCCCGGGTTATTAGAGAAAGTGGGTAATGGCGGTTCTGTATGCCAAGTTTGGTCTTTATTGGTCTTTGGATAACGGCTGCATATTTTCAGGAAGCGAGTGAAGGTACTTGAAGTCCCATCATCCATGGGCCATCCTCCTACAAACAGCAGCAGGATATAGAGTGGGTCATGGGGGCTCTGTGTGCCAAGTTTGGTCTTTATCAGTCATTAGATGAGGGTGGCAGTGGTGTCAGTAAGTGAGTGAAGGTATTGCAAGTCCCATCATCCAAAGTCCATCCCCTTTCAAACTGCAGTAGGATGTAGAGTGGATCATGGGGGCTCTGTGTGCCAAGTGTGGTCTTCATTGGTCATTAGAAGAGAGTTGCAGCAATCTTTGGAAGGGAGTGGAGGTACTTGAAGTCCCATCATCCATGGTCTGTCCTCCTCCAAACTGGCAGGATGTAGAGTGGGTCATTGGAGCTCCATGTAGCAAGTTTAGTCTTGATTAGTCATTGGCGAGGGTCTCAGTGGTCTCAGGAAGTGAGCAAAGGTACTGCAAGTCCCATCATCCATCTCCAAATTTTCCAAATAACACCAGGACGTAAAGTGGGTCATGAGAGGTCTATGTGCCAAGTTTGGTCTTGATCCGTCATTGGATGAGGGTGGCAGTGGTGTCAGTAAGTGAGTGAAGGTACTGCAAGTCCCATCATCCATGGTATGCCCTACTCCAAACCACAGTAGGATGTAGAGTGGGTCATGGGGGCTCTGTGTGCCAAGTTTGGTTTTGTTCGGACATTAGATGAGGGTTGCAGCAGTCTTGGGAAGAGAGTGGAGGTACTTGAAGTCCTATCATCCATGGTCTGTCCTCCTCGAAAGTACACCAGGATGTAGAGTGGGTCATGGGGACTCTCTGTGCCAAGTTTGGTCTTGATCAGTCATTGGCAAGGGTCTCAGTGGTCTCAGGAAGTGAGTGAAGTGACTGCAAGTCCCATCATCCATTGACAAATTCTTCCAAACCGCATCAGGATGTAGAGTGGGTTATGCGGGCTCTCTGTGTAAATTGTGGTCCTGATCCATCATTGTTGGCAGTTATAATGGTTTTAGGAAGGGAGTGCAGGTATTGGAAGTCCCATCGTCCATGGTGCATCCTCCTCCAAGCCACACCAGGATGTAGAGTGTGTCATGGAGACTCAGTGTGCCAAGTTTGGTCTGTATCGGTAATTGGTTGAGGGTTGCAGTGGTCTCAAGAATTGAGCAAAGGTACTGCAAGTCCCATAATCCATGGTCCATCCTCGGCCAGACCACACCAGGACGTAAAGTGGGTCATGAGAGGTCTATGTGCCAAGTTTGATCCTGATCAGTCATTGGATGAGGTTAACAGCGGTCTCAGAATGTGAGTGATGGTACCGCAAGTCCCATCATCCATGGTTGCAGTAGGATGTAGAGTGGGTCATGGGGGCTCTGTGTGCAAGTTTGGTCTGTATCAGTAATTTTTTGACCAAGCCCCTGGCCTTTTCCTTTCCTCTCTTTGTCAACTCGGAATCTTGGATTTGTGGCTGGCCAATCAGAGACCATATGCAAATGTCCCTCTCTCATGTCTCCATTTCTGTCATGAACCCTTTTCTCCACCAGGGGCTCCTCTTGAAGCTGGCCAATCAGAGACCATATGCAAATAGCACCACAGTGGCAGCCAATCGGAAAGCTGCCACAAACACGTCCGCCCTCCGCCCTTCCGCCCTTCCACTACAAACACTCTCTTTTATTATATACTAGCTTGGGGACCCGGCGCTGCCCGGGTTATTGTAGAAAGTGGGTAATGGCGGTTCTGTATGCCAATTTTGGTCTGTATTGGTCATTGGATGACGGTTGCATTGTTTTCAGGAAGTGAGTGAAGGTACTTGAAGTCCCATTGTCCATGGTCAACCCTCCTCCAAACAGCAGCAGGATATAGAGTGAGTCATGGGGGCTCTGTGTGCCAAGTTTGGTCTTTATCAGTCATTGGTTCAGGGTCGCAGTGGTTTCAGTAAGTGAGAATATGTACTGTAAGTCCCATCATCCATGGTCAACCCTCCTCCAAACAGCATCGGTATGTAGAGTGGGTTATGGGGCTCTGTGTGCCAAGTTTGATCTTGATTGGACATTAGATGAGGGTTGCAGCAGTCTTGGGAAGGGAGTGGAGGTACTTGAAGTCCCATCATCCATGGTCTCCTCCTCCAAACTGCAGCAGGATGTAGAGTGGGTCATGGAGACTCAGTGTGCCAAGTTTGGTCTTTATCGGTAATTGGATGAGGGTTGCAGTGGCCTCAAGAATTGAGCAAATGTACTGCAAGTCCCATAATCCATGGTCCATCCCCGGCCAAACCACACCAGAGCGTAAAGTGGGTCATGAGAGGTCTATGTGCCAAGTTTGGTCCTGATCAGTCATTGGATGACGTTAACAGCGGTCTCAGAATGTGTTTGATGGTACTGCAAGTCCCATCGTCCATGGTGCATCCTCCTCCAAACTGCACCAGGATGTTGAGTGTGTCATGGAGACTCAGTGTGCCAAGTTCTGTCTTTATTGGTAATTGGATGAGGGTTGCAGAGGTCTCAGGAATTGAGTGAAGGTACTGCAAGTCCCATAATCCATGGTCTATCCCCGGCCAAATCACACCAGGGCGTAAAGTGGGTCATGAGAGGTCTACATTGGAAGAAGAGGGAAGGTGGCTGCCTCTTTTGGGGCCTAGCTGGGAGAAGGCAACCTAGAAGGGCCTGCAAGGATTTGGCAGAAGGGTCAAAGGAGGCCGGGGTGAGGGGGCTTTGGGGCCCAGAAATGTTCAGACGCAGAAAAAGGCATCATTAAAAATATAATTATTGTTTTTCTCTGCTTTCATTGGAATGATGTAGTGCCTTGCCTTGTAGAAGGACAATGCTTGTTCAGATCACCCAGTCAGAAGCGGCCTTCTTGGACACAATGTAGAAGAGGGAAGGAAGGTGGCTGCCTCTTTTGGGGCCTAGCTGGGAGAAGGCAACCTAGAAGGCCTGCAAGGACTTAGCAGAAGGCCAATCAGAAACCACATGCAAATTTCCTTCTCTCATGTCCCTGCTTCTGTCATTAACCCTCTTTGCCACCAGGGGGCCCTCTTGAGGTTGGCCAATCAGAGACAATATGCAAATTTCCTTTGCCCTCTCAGCCACTTGAGGATGTTGGAACTTTCAAGCTGGCCAATCAGAGGCCATATGCAAATAGCACCGCAGTGGCAGCCAATCAGAAAGCTGCCACAAACTCCTACCTACGTCCTCCTTCCTCTGTCCTCCCTCGCACACAAACTTTGACTTTTATTATATATATAGATATAGATATAGATAACATATATAAGATGCACCCATCCCAAGGTGCAGACACTCCCAAAGTGGGCCAAACAAGAGGCCAGGCTCACCAGGCAGCCGGTGGCGTTCCGGACTTTCTGCACGGCGTCTTCCACCTCGTTCGGTTCCGCCGCTTCCACTTCCTTCCATGGGACTTCCTGCTTTTTGCCGGACTCCTTCCTGCAGAATATCTGGAACCAAGGAAGAGCTTTTAATCAAGATAAAGATGAACTATGGACCTGTATTAAAACAAAGCCAGACAGGCAAGGAAATAATAATAATAATAATAATAATAATAATAATAATAATAATAAGTCAAGGTGGTCCCTGTGGTGATTGGCACACTGGGTGCAGCGCCTCAAGACCTTGGCCTGCACTTAACAGTCGGTGCTTACAAGATTACCATCTGCCAGCTGCAAAAGGCCATATTACTGAGTCCCCCCAGGGATGAGAAAAGCGGTATACAAATACTGTAAATAATAATAATACTGGGATCTACACACACCATTCGCCAAAACATCTCACAGTCCTCGACACTAATAATACTGGTTATAATAATATACTATAATGGTAATGAGAATATTAATAATGGTTATAATAATATCCTGTAATGGTAATAAAGAAAATCCAACCAATGCTCCGTTCAGCAAAGGACAAGAGGGATCCTCTCGCTTCTGCATGGAGAAGCCATGGAAATACACAAGTATGTGGACAATTTCAACAGGAGGAAACCATGAAAGTGAACAAAATCTGGCTACCAGTATTAAAAAACTCTAAAATTACAACAGCACAACAACAGAGAGGAAACAAACAAGGACATCTAATTACCTCTCAACAAAAGATTGCTCTAGGCACAGTCAGGCTAATCAAGGTGGTTTGTTGAAACATTCCCACCTAGATCCAGCAGACGAGTCCTTTGTCCCACCCTGGTCATTCCACAGATATAGAAACCCATTTTCCTAGTTCCAACAGACCTCACTACTTCTGAGGATGCTTGCCATAGATGCAGGCGAAACGTCAGGAGAGAATGCCTCTAGAACATGGCCATATAGGCCGAAAAAACCTACAACAACCCAGTGATTCCGGCCATGAAAGCCTTCGGTAATAATAATAATAATAATGATGATGATGGTTACAATAATATACTATAATTGTAATTATAATAATAATGGTTATAATAATATACTATAATGGTAGTAGTAATAATAATAATAATGGTTATAATAATATACTATAATGGTAATAATAATAATAATGGTTATAATAATACACTATAATGGTAATAATAATAATAATAATAATAATAATAATAATGGTTAAATAATATACTATAATGGTAATAATAATAATAGTTATAATAATATACTATAATGGTAATAATAATAATAATAATGGTTATAATAATATACTATAATAGTAATAATAATAATGATAATAATTCAATAATAATAATAATAATAATAATAATACAACAGCCAGCAGTGTCCGTGTTTGCTGTAGACTCATCTTGTTGTGTATATAATAATAATAATAATAATAATAATAATAATAAATTTCATTATTAATAATAATTTTATTAATTATTATTATTATTATTATTATAATTACTGATTCCTGACCTCGGTTTGCAGCCTGGCGGGGGCCTCCTCATTGTCGTCGATCTTCCGGACGCTGTCGTAATGCTCCCCATATCGGTATGCGATGTGCAGCTCCCGGGCGTTGCCTTTGTCCGTTCCCCGGATCTGAACAATATTCATATAATATATTACAATACATTCATATACACACACACAAAACACATATACACAGACTGGGCCACAGCAACATGTGGCAGGGGACAGCTAGTAGTAGTAGTAGTAGTAGTAATAATAATAATAAATATTGTAAATATGGAATATGAACAGCAATGCGTGGTAGGGGATGGCTAGTAATAATAATAATAATAATAATAATAATAATATTGGAAATATGGAATATGAACAGCAATGAATGGCAGGGGATGACTAGTAATAATATTAATAAATAAATAAATAAATAAATATTGTAAATATGGAATATGAACAGCAATGTGTGGCATGGGACAGCTAGTAATAGTAATAATAATAATAATAATAATAATAATAATAATAATAAATATTGGAGATATGGAATATGAACAGCAATGCATGGCATGGGACGGCTAGTAATAATAATAATAAATATTGTAAATATGGAATATGAACAGCAACACGTGGCAGGGGACGGCTAGTAATAATAATAATAATAATAATAATATTGGGAATATGGAATATGAACAGCAATGAGTGGCAGGGGATGGCTAGTAGTAGTAGTAGTAATAATAATAATAATAATTTAATAATAATAATAATAATTTAATAATAATAATAAATTGTGTCAGTATAATAATAATAATAATAAAAGGTAAAGGTTTTCCCCTGACATTAAGTCCACTCGTGTGTGTTGGTGCTGGCGTTATCCATAGACAACATGCATGGAGCGCCGTTACCTTCCCGCCAGAGCGGTACCTATTGATCTACTCACATTTGCATGTTTTCGAACTGCTAGGTTGGCAGAAACTGGGGCTGACAGCGGGAGCTCATCCCGCTCCCCGGATTCGAACCGCCGACCTTTTGGTCAGCAGCTCAGCGGTTTAACCACTGTGCCACCGGGGACCCCACAATACAATGTTGGGCTGAGTGAATGATATTTATGCAATATAGTATTAGGATTCTGGGAGTTGTAGTCCTCCTACCTGCCAGAGGGGGGCGTTGAGCTGGTGGATGACCACGTTCACCTGGTTGTTCTTGGCGAAGGCCACGATGGCGTCATTCCCGGCAAAAGTGCCCGGCTGGGACAGGTTGGCCACTGCAGAGGAAGGAAGGAAGGAAGGGAGAAGACACCATTAGGAGAGCCCTCTCTTGGAAGCCCATGGGCTTCCTAGGGGTGGCTCCGTGGTTGACTTCCTGTCATCGTACGGTAGGGAAAGCCCCTCTAGGAGCCTTCCTCCCACGTGTTGGAGGACTTGAGGGATTTTTGGCACAAAGTCCTCTCTAGGGACTTCCAGTCCTCTAGAACGACTCTAATTATAAAATATAATAATAATAATAATAATAATAATAATAATAATAATATCATTAATAATTCGAGAAATAATAATTATTTATAAAATAATAAATTATTATTCTCATATAAATAGTAATAAAGTATAAACAATAATATGCGCATTATTACTATTATGTACATAATGAAGTATAATATGCACATTATTACTTTTATAATATCATGAATATTATAAATAATAATTTATAAAATATATATATAATTATTCTTATACACATAGTAATAAAGTATAAACAATAATACGCACATTATTACTATTATAATATAATAAATAAATAATAAATATTTATAAAAATAATATATAATTATTCTTATATAAATAGTAATAATGTATAAACAATAATATGCACATTATTACTATTATTATATCATAAATAATATTATAAATAATAATAATTTATAAAAATAGTATATAATTATTCTTATACAAATAGTAAACAATAAACAATGATGCACAATAATATGCACATTATTATTATTATATTATAAATAATATTATACATTATTACTATTATAATATCATAAATACTATTATAAAATATAATTATTTATAAAATATATATATAATTATTCTTACACACAGTAATAAAGTATAAACAATAATATGCACATTATTATTATATCATAAATAATATTATAAATAATAATTATTTATAAAATATATATAATTATTCTTATACAAATAGTAATAAAGTATAAACAATAATATACAAATTATTACTATTATGTACATAACAATAATAACGTATAAATAATATATATTATTTTATAAATAGCTAGCCATCTCCTGCCATGCGTTGCTGTGGCCCAGTCTGTGTATATGTATTTTGTGTGTGTAAATATGTGTACATGTGTATATATCTGTGTATATATGTGTGTTTGCATATATATGTGTGTGTATGTATACGTGTGTGCATGTCTATATATGTATGTGTGCATGTATGTATATGCATGTATATGTATTTCTGTATATTTGCGTGTGCATATATATGCATGTATGTATATGTGTGTGTGTATATATGTATATTTGAGTGTGCATGTGTGTATGTATATATGCGTGTATGTATATGTATATGTGTATATTTGTGTGTGCATGTGTATATGTATATATGCATGTATGTATATGTATGTGTGTATATGTGTATATTTGTGTGTGCATGTGTTTATGTATATGTGTGCGTATGTATGTGTACGTGTGTATATGTACGTGTGTATATATGTATGTGTGTATATATGTATGTGTGTATATATGTATATTTGTATGTGTATATGTATATATATGTATATGCATGTGTGTATATATTTGTGTGTGTTTGTGCATATATATATGTGTGTGTGTATGATTGTGTGCATATGTACATGTGTATATATCTGTGTATATATGGTGTCTTTTTTGAGTTTTTAAGTCTGTTCCACTGGGGTTTTGTGTGTGTGTTTCGGGATGATGGACACTCGTTGACGTAATAGGTGCATTGTGTCCACATTTCGTATCAATTTGTCCAGTGGTTTTTGAGTTATGTTAATCCCACAAATGAACATTATATTTTAATTTATATAGATAACAGATATTATATAAATAACAACAATATATAAATAAATTATGAATAATAATATATAAATAAATGATGAATAACAATATATAAATAAATGAATAATAATATATAAATAAATGAATAATAATATATAAATAAATAAATGAATAATAAATGTAATATAATAATAAATATGATAATATGTTATAATATCATAATGAATAAATATAATAATATAACAATATAATAATAATTTAATTCAATAGTTATGATATAGTACATATATAATATATAAACAAATGAATAATAATAATAATATTTAAATAAATGAATAACAATAATAATATAAATAAATGATGAGTAATAATATAAATAAATGATGAATAATAATATAAATAAATTATTAATAATATAACCAAATGAATAATAATATATAAATGAATAATAATAATAATATATAAACAAATGAATAATAATAATAATATTTAAATAAATGAATAACAATAATAATATAAATAAATGATGAGTAATAATATAAATAAATGATGAATAATAATATAAATAAATTATTATTAATAATATCTAAATAAATGAATAATAATAATATAAATAAATGAATAATAATAATAATATATAAATAAATGAATAATAATAATATACATAAATTAATAATACTAATAATATGTAAATAAGGGGCGCACGGTGCTTCTCGAAGGGGAGGTCGTCCTCCACGAAGGGCTCGAAGTCTCCCCGCTGCTGCTGCATGTAGGCCACGGTCTCCTGGCGGTGCCGCAGGTGGTTCTGGGAGTGGCCCTCCAGCTGGTCCCCCAGCGCACGGAAGAGGCAGTTCCTGGCCGAGAGCAAAGACAAAGGGAGTGAGGGGTGGGATTAGCTTGCGTCCGCATCGCACACTTAACCCACTTTGATGCCCCCTCAGATCAAGGCCGAGGCCTCCTTCCTGCCTCGCAAGGCCTTCAGCCTTCCCTGCCACAGAATCCCAAAACACAACAAAACTACAAAATTGAGATGTCGAGTCCCCTTTAAGAAAGGATCCTCATTTACCGGGGGGCGTGGCTTGGAGGAAGAGGCGTGGCTTAGCGCCCTCCCGATTGCTCAGCTTGAACGGAGTGGGCGTGGCTACAGCCGGGTGGGCGGGGCTTTCTCAGTATTATAAACAGTCGCAGCGGTGGGCGTGGCCAAACCGGAGGGGGCGCTGCTTCCTCAGTGGACGTGGGCGTGGCTACGACGGAGAGGGCGGGTTTAATGAGCATATTATAAATAGAGCCTCAGGAGGAGGCGTGGCCAAGGCGGGGGCGTGGCTTCTTCAGTAAATACACACCCGTGGGCGGGGCTAAGGCGAGGTGGGCGTGGTCAGAACCGACAGGGCTGGAACGGAGGGGGCGTGGCTTCCTCAGTAGAGGCACGGCTATGGCAGTGGGTGGGTCCAAGATGGACGGGGCGTGGCTAAGGCGAAGAGGGTGGGCCTACTAAGACTATACAGCAGGTATGGGCGTGGCTAAGGGCGATGGGGGCGTGGCTTCCTCAGTACATGCCCTGCTATGGGGTGGGCGTGTCTAAGGAAGGTGGGTCGGGCTTACTGCAATGGGCGTGGCTAGGGTGCAGGGGGCGTGGCTTCCTCAGTAATACAAATATATAGGAGGGGGCGTGGCCAAGGCGGAGAGGGCGGGCGTGCTGAGCCAATAGAGCCGCATCGGTGGGCGTGGCTTCCACAGTAGAGCGAGGCTTCAGACGGATAGGCGGGGCGAAGGCAAACCACACTGGATGAACGGCAATGGCAGTGGGCGTGGCCAGAGCGGACGGGGCGTGGCTTTCTCAATAAGTAGACAAATACGGCCATGGGCCTGGCTAAGTGGAACGGGGCGTGGCTACGGCGGAGTGGCGTGTTTTCCTCAGTGGAGACACAGCTCTGTCCGGGGGCGTGGCTTACGCGGCATATCTAAAGCAGTGGGCGTGTCTAAGGAGGAGGGGCGGGGCTTAACGTAGTAGGCGGGTCTAAGGCGGGGCGTGGCTTCCTCGCTGTCTCAGAGTGCTTACTGAGACGATAGAGCACCAGCTGTGGGCGTGGCTAAGGCTGAGGGGGCGTGGCTTCCTCAATAGAACAGCTCAGGCCGTGGGCGTGTCTATGGAGGGGCGTGGCTTCCTCAGTACATAGACTGCTTATGGGGTGGGCGTGTCTAAGGCGGAGGGGGCGTGGTTACAACAATGGGGGTGGCTTCAGTTAAGACTCAGCGGAAGGGGGCCGTGGGTTCCGTAGCTTCTGCCCTTAGCCACGCTCCCCCCCACACCCCCCCCCCCCCCCCCTTAGCTCTGCCTTAGCCACGCCCACCGAAGCGGCACTATTGTCTCAGCAAGCCCGCCCTCTCCTCCTTGGCCACGCCCCCTCCCATATATTTGTATTACCGAGGAAGCCACGCCCATTGCAGTAAGACCGGCCCACCTTCCTTAGCCACGCCCACCCCATAGCAGTGCATGTACTGAGGAAGCCACGCCTCATCGGCCTTAGCCACGCCCATATAGTCTTAGTAAGCCCACCCTCTTCGCTTTAGCCACGCCCCGCCCCACTTGGACACGCCCACGGCCATAGCCCCGACTTAGTAGCGACTTAGCTCTCACTGTGGGCGTGTCTAAGGCGGAGGGGGCGTGTCTTTCTCAGTACCTCTCACTGTGGGCGTGTCTAAGGCGGAGGGGGCAGGCTTACTGAATCTATAGAGCCGCAGAGGTGGGCGTGGCTAGGACGGAGAGGCGTGGCGAAAGCAAACGGGGCGTGGCCCTACTTTGGATACAAGGCAATGGCAGTGGGCGTGGCTTCCTCGGCCGATAGCAAGCCGTGGGCGTGGCTAGGGCTGAGGTGGGCGTAGCTTCCTCGGTATATATATAAACAGCTCTGGCTGTGGGCGTGGTTACTCGGAAAGGGGCGTGGTCTACGCAGAATATAATTTAGATGTGGGCGTGGCTTCTGGGCAGGGGCGTGGCCATCTCTCTCACCCGTCTCCCGGCACTTCCCGGAGGCGGAGCCCGAGGGCGCGCAGCTGGGCGGCCAGGCCTCCTTCTCCTTCTCCTCCCGGGGGCCGGTTCTTCCTCTCTCGGGCCTGCGCCAGGGCCCTCCGCTTGGCCGCCGCCGCCTGCTGCTGCTGCTGCTGCTTCCGAGACATGTCCTCCCGCCCGCCCGCCGGCCTGACTGACTAACCGCGCATGCGCGTTGGAACACTTCCTGCTTCCGGCCCCGAGGCGGAAGGAAGGGGCTTCCGACACAGAGACGGATTGCTAGAGCGGCCTCGCGTTCAAGATGGCCGCCGGCCAAACCTTGTAAGTGCCGCTGAGAGGAAGGGTTTGGGCCTAGTCTTTATTATGTATACTTTCTCTCTCTAAATAGATAACAGCTAGTTAGTAGATTAGACGCAGTTAGTTAGTAGTCACTGTGACTGACCGAGAAGTCATGAGTTCGAAGCCAGCCCCGGTCGGAGTGAGCTCCCGAACATTATTAGTCTAGCTTGCTGTTGACCTATGCAGCCTGAAATAATTAATAATAATTTTTATTATTTCTATCATTATTATACATTATCCCTAGTAATTATATTATATCGGCCAGGGATGGGTTGGTTGATTGGTTTGTGGGTTTTTTAATACTGGTAGCCAGATTTTGTTCATTTTCATGTTCATTTCACATCTGGCTACCAGTATTAAAAAATTCTAAAATTGCAACAGCAAAAACAGCAGAGAGAAAAACAGGCAGGGACATCTAATCACCTTTCAAGAAGAGTTTGCTCCAGGCACATTCAGCCCATTGTATGCTAATCAGGTGGTCAGTTGAAAGATTCACACCCAGCCCAACTTACAAAAGCCCTTTGTCTCACCCTGGTCATTCCACAGATATACAAACCCCTTTTTCCCAGTACCACCTCTGAGGATCCTTGCCATAGATGCAGGCGAAACGCAGGGCCTTTGCACAACTAAGACTCGTGCACCAACTGCGACCGTACCTGGTGAAGGCGGATCTGGCCAGGGTGGTCCATGCCTTGGTCACCTCCAGATTGGACTACTGTAATGCGCTCTACGTGGGGCTGCCCTTGAAAATGGCCCAGAAATTTCAATTGGTTCAACGGGTGGCGGCCAGGATGTTAACTGGTGCTCCATACAGGGAGCGGTCAACCCTCCTTTAAGGCTGCCATTCATTTTCCAGGCCCAATTCAAGGTGCAGGTGCTTACCTACAAAGCCCTGAACGGTTTGGCACCCACCTACCTGCATGACCGCATTTCTGTATATGAACCCACACGATCTCGTCGTTCATCTGGAGAGGCCCTGCTCATGATCCCACCTGCATCACAAGCGCGATTGGTAGCAACAAGGGACAGGGCCTTCTCGGTGGTGGCCCCACGACTCTGGAACTCCCTCCCCAAGGACATCAGGCAGGCCCCAACGTTGGCAGTCTTTAGAAGGAGCTTGAAAACGTGGATGTTCCAGAGTGCCTTCCCAGAATAAGGAATCCCAAGCAATATGTCCCAAATGCACTTTACGAGAGATTTAGAATTGTCTGCACGCCCACCTATCCCTAAAATATCCATCCTATTTCCCTTGGACATGCTCAGCATTTTTAAATTTTAGTCCTTACATTTGGCCCTGCCACAGGTTTTTAAATGCGTTGTGTCATTATTGTATTGTTTTGCTTTGTTATTTATTGTACTGCTGTTGTTATGTTTTTATGATGTATTTGGGCTCAGCCTCTTGTAAGCCGCACCGAGTCCTGCGGGGTATAAATAAAGGTTTATTATTATTATATTGTATTGTTATAGTATAATAATATTATCAATATTATGGACTGGGCTGTGGCACAGCTAGTTAGTAGTCAGATGCATTAAATCACTACTGACTGAGAAGCCAGCCCAGGTCGAAGTGAGCTCCCAACCGTTAATAGTCTAGCTTGCTGTTGACCTATGAAGCTGGAAATAATTAATAATAAACTTTTTTTTATTTCTATCCTGCTTTATGTCTCTATACAGGGACTCAAAGTGGCTCACAATCCAAAACATTACAACATGAAATGCCACAATAATGCTGTATATCCTTATATATTATTCTTTGTTGTTGTTGTTCATTCGTTCAGTCGTCTCCGACTCTTCGTGACCTCATGGACCAGCCCACGCCAGAGCTCCCTGTCAGCCGTCACCACGCCCAGCTCCTTCAAGGTCAGTCCAGTCACTTCAAGGATGCCATCCATCCATCTTGCCCTTGGTCGGCCCCTCTTCCTTTTGTCGTCCACTTTCCCCAGCATAATTGTCTTCTCTAGGCTTTGCTGTCTCCTCATGATGTGGCCAAAGTACTTCAACTTTGTCTCTAGTATCTTTCCCTCCAGTGGGCTTTATTTCCTGGAGGATGGACTGGTTGGATCTTCTCGCAGTCCAAGGCACTCTCAGAACTTTCCTCCAGCACCACAGCTCAAAAGCATCGATCTTCCTTCGCTCAGCCTTCCCTAAGGTCCAGCTCTCACATCCGTAGGTTACTACAGGGAATACCATGGCTTTGACTAGGCGGATCTTTGTTGCCAGTCTGATGTCTCTACTCTTTACTATTTTATCGAGATTGGACATTGCTCTCCTCCCAAGAAGTAAGCGTCTTCTGATTTCCTGGCCACAGTCTGCATCTGCAGTAATCTTTGCACCTAGAAATACAAAGTCTGTCACGGCCTCCACGGTTTCTCCCTCTATTTTCCAGTTGTCAATCATTCTTGTTGCCATAATCTTGGTTTTTTTGACGTTTAGCTGCAACCCGGCCTTTGCGCTTTCTTCTTTCACCTTGATTAGAAGGCTCCTCAGCTCCTCCTCGCTTTCGGCCATCAGAGTGGTGTCATCTGCATATCTGAGGTTGTTAATGTTTCTTCCAGCAATTTTCACCCCAGCTTTGCATTCATCCAGGCCCGCACATCGCATGATGTGTTCTGCATACAAGTTAAAAAGGTTGGGTGAGAGGATGCAGCCTTGCCGTCCGCCTTTCCCAATCTTGAACCAGTCTGTTGTTCCGTGGTCAGTTCTGACTGTTGCTACTTGGTCCTTGTACAGATTCCTCAGGAGAGAGACAAGGTGGCTTGGGATGCCCATCCCACTAAGAACTTGCCACAATTTATTATGATCCACACAGTCAAAGGCTTTAGAATAGTCAATGAAGCAGAAGTAGATGTTTTTCTGAAACTCCCTGCTTTTCTCCATTATCCAGCGGATATTGGCAATTTGGTCTCTCGTTCCTCTACCTTTTCTAAACCCAGCTTGAACATCTGGTAACTCTCGCTCCATGTATTGCTGGAGTCTTCCTTGCAGGATCTTGAGCATTACCTTACTGGCATGAGAAATAAGGGCCACTGTACGGAAGTTTGAGCAGTCTTTCGCATTTCCCTTTTTTGGTATGGGGATATAAGTTGATTTTTTCCAGTCTGATGGCCATTCTTGTGTTTTCCATATTTGCTGGCAAATGGCATGCATCACCTTGACAGCATCATCTTTTAAGATTTTAAACAGTTCAGCTGGGATCCCGTCGTCTCCTGCTGCCTTGTTGTTAGCAATGCTTCTTAAGGCCCATTCAACCTCACTCCTCAGGATGTCTGGTTCTAATTCATTCACCACACCGTCAAAACTATCCTCAATATTATTATTCTTCCTATACAGATCTTCTGTATAGTCTCGCCACCTTCTTTTGATCTCTTCAGCTTCTGTTAGGTCCCTGCCATCTTTGTTTCTTATCATACCAATTTTTGCCTGAAATTTACCTCCAATGTTTCTAATTTTCTGGAAGAGGTCTCTTGTCCTTCCTATTCTGTTGTCTTCTTGCACTTCCATGCATTGCTTATTTAAAAATAGTTCCTTATCTCTTCTGGCTAACCTCTGGAATTGCGCATTTAACTGGGCATATCTCCCCTTATCCCTGTTTCCTTTTGCTTTCCTCCTTTCTTGGGCTACTTCCAGTGTCTCAGCAGACAACCATTTTGCCTTCTTGGTTTTCTTTTTCTTTGGGACGTACTTTGTTGCCGCCTCCTGCACAATGTCTCGGACTTCTGTCCATAGTTCTTCTGGGACTCTGTTTACTAAATCTAGTCCTTCAAATCTGTTCTTCACTTCCACTGTATATTCGCTAGGAATGTTAGTGAGATCATATCTAACTGTCTGTGTATTTTCCCTGATCTCTTTAGTTTTATTCTAAATTGGGCAATAAGAAGTTCGTGATCTGAGCTACAGTCAGCCCCAGGTCTTGTTTTCACCGACTGGATGGATGTCCGCCACCTTTGGCTGCAAAGGATGTAGTCAATCTGATTTCGGTGTTGACCGTCTGGTGAGGTCCATGTGTAAAGCCGTCTTTAGGTTGTTGGAAGAGAGTATTCGTTATACACAGCGAGTTTTCCTGGCAAAATTCTATCAGCCTGCGTCCCGCTTCATTTTGTTCTCCCAGACCATGCTTGCCTGTGATCCCTGTTGTCATTTGACTTCCCACCTTGGCATTCCAGTCTCCTGTAATGAAAATAATGTCGCTTTTTGGTGTATTATCCAGTAGGTCCTGCAGATCCTCATAGAACTGATCTACTTCTGCTTCTTCAGCAGCTGTGGTTGGGGCGTATATTTGGATCACTGTAATGTTGAAAGGCTTTCCTTGCACTCGAATTGAGATCATTCTGTCATTTTTGGGTTGTATCCAAGCACCGCTTTAGCGAATTTCTTATTAATTATGAAGGCTACTCCATTTCTTCGATGTTCCTCTTGTCCGCAGTAGTAGATCTGGTGGCCATCTGATGTGAAGTGGCCCATTCCAGTCCATTTCAGTTCGCTGACCCCCAGAATGTCTATCTTTAGTCTTGACATCTCACCAATAACAACATCCAATTTGCCCTGGCTCATAGATCTTACATTCCAGGTTCCTATGGTGTGTTGATCTTTAGAGCATCGGATTCGTCGTTCACCTCCAGTACCGTCGGCCGCTAGCCTTCCTTTCGGCTTTGAGCTAGCTGCGGCATCACATCTGGGGCTAGTTGAACTTATCCTCTGCTCCTCCCCAGTAGCATTTTGGCCATCTTCCGACCTGGGAGTCCCATCTTCCAATGGCATACCGACATATCTCTGGTTGTACTGGTCCATTTAGTTTTCTTGGCAAGGATACTGGAGTGGTTTGCCATTGCCTTCCCCAGGGATCACGCTTGGTCTGACCTCTCTGCCACAACCG